TCTTCCTGCAGGAGAGTTTCTCCCACCAACATAGTTACCACCGCTTGCAGGGGCTGGCATAATTGAGTCAATGGGAGAACTCTCGTCTGTTGGCATAAACCATTCACGCTAACAGCAGTACAGCTGTGCCACTGTAAGCTGTGGTATGTAGCTATAGCTCAGAAAGTGTAATTTCCTGGGGGTCTACTCTCTGCAGAGAGTAGGCAGGCAGCAGGCCTTTGGTGTACTGGAGGAGCTAACACACATTACTCTATTAGACAACAGAACAGTTGCTGCTTCTGTATTTGCCCTGCCAGCGCTGCCCTTTCTAAGGATTTGATGGCTTCCCCCCCTTTTCTCTCACTGTTTTGTTTTTTTCTTGATATGTTGATTTCATCAGAGCTACTAGGTTTTTTTCAAATGTTGTTTCTGAGTTCTTGTTTGAGCCTTCTCTTGGGACAAAATGTTATATTTTGTGTTTTATGAAATGTCCAGAAGTGACTGCATTTAACTGATGGGAGAACTGATAGTAAAACATGCTTTCTCTACCACACATGGATTTTGTAAAATTTAAAGTGCTTTGTTTGTACTACGTGAAAAGGGCTCAGAAGTGCATATTATACTTGGATCCAGCAGGGCTCTTGGAAGCCTAGCATGAGATGTGAATTGATTGGTCATCTGCATAGTTGTATGAGGCTGTTGATGAACAGACTGATAATGTGATTCTTCTGTCTGCACAGGTTGATCGCACAGAAAGAGTTAAGAATTCCTTGAACCCAAAGTTCGCCAAGAGGTTCCTAATTGATTACTACTTTGAGCTGGTTCAGAAGTTTAAATTTGGGATTTATGACATTGATAACAAAACCATCGATTTAAGTGATGATGACTTCCTGGGAGAATTTGAATGCACTCTTGGCCAAGTGAGTTCAAACAGAATCTGAACACGTCTTATAGGGGATATGGTATTACCTACTTTGATTTCCACTAGAACTATGTAATGGTAAGCTTAGAACTGTGCATCTTTTGTATGTGTTGACCTATGACCATGTTCGTGTGTGGGGATATCACTCTACGCGAGGAACAATTGTCTCTGTTAGTTTGCATACACTTAAAATGCTGCAGCTATTTAGGATGCTACCTATGCTGAACTAGCAATGGCTAAACCAAGAGTTAGGTCATCAGTTTAACTGCATCGCTCAACAATGTGGATTTTTCACTAATTACTTAGTAGAGCAGGCATAGGAGTGTCTGCTAGCTCCTTTGTCTCAATGCTGCATGTAAGATCATTCTGCAAGCAGTCATTTTGAGGTTTTGTCTAATAAATGCTAGTTGCAGTAGAATAGAACAAGTAATTAGAGAGACAAGGTGATGTAATCTCTTTTATTGTGCTAAATTCTGTTAAGAGAAACAAGCTTTTGAGATCTTCATGACTGGGAAATATGTTCAGAGAATCAGCTAGATACAAGGTGGTACAGATTGTGTAGCATAAGTTTTTAATACATATTTCAATGGATCATTCAAGACAAAGTAACACATTAACCTTTCTCCAATCATAGTGGGGTGGGGGAGGAAGAGACTTAGGGAGAGGTTACACAGTTCCATGAGGGAAGGATGGAGGGCTGACGACTCCCTGGGAGCTGGTGCACACAGGGAGATGGTTTTTAATCTGGTTCCCCACCACCTGGCTCCCACCTCACCACGCTTCTGCCTCTGATACAGAGGCAGCACAGGGGTGGGGTGAGAGGTGGCTCGCAGGGAGCCAGCTTAAACCTGCCCCTCCCCTGACTCTGTAGCAGTGACAGTAGTGAGTGGGGGAGGAGTGCGGTGTCTGTATGTGTAACCGTGCATGTTAACCAATGAGCCCAGGCTCATCAGTTAACAGTGTACACTGTTACACTTTCACAATCCTATTTATGTGCACCATATCAAGATAATGTATTGATGTGTGTCACCAGTAGAAACTAAAAACCTATCTGTAATACATACTTTTAAAAAGTTACCATAGGAATAATTACTCCAGCCAGTACAATTTAGAACTCACTACTCAAAAGAATTAAATATAAGCACAAGAGCATAATAAAAATTATAAAATGCATAGACCAGTCAAAACTAAAATGATACTCTCTGAAAGAAGTATCAAGAAATAACAATACAAGTATGTGTCAGGAGGGGAGCGTGACTGACACACAAACAATGTGGGTTAGGGATGTTAACATGTACTCATGTACACAGTTGACCAATAATCCTGGGCTCATTGATTAACCTGCACAGTTACATGCAGTGCTCCCTCCCCACTCATGGTAAAGCAGTTTTCAAAAATGGAACCTGTATCATCACCTGTCTTCTTTCAGAGTGAAAAGCTGCTAACCTGTAATAATAGCTCTTAACCAATTGACTTTTATTTTGACAGATCGTCTCCAGCAAGACACTGACAAGGCCACTTATGCTTAAAAATGGAAAACCTGCAGGGAAAGGAAGCATCACGGTAGGATGATGCTTGGATTTCTCCTTCTAATACATAGTCTCTACGTTGTTTATATTATTGAAGTCACTGTATTATATAACATCATAGTAATGGGAATATTGCTTTCATAGCCATTTGCATCTTTCAGGTCAACACAGCTACTGTTTTGTACACTAACTTATGAAAATTAGTCTTCAGAGGCTTAAATAAATGAGTTGGTCAGTTTCAAATAAAAAGGGGTGAATTTTTTTTTTTTTTTAAATTTTTTCCATTATTTTTATCTCTCAGGTCCTGAGCAAATGTGGGTTCTTGTTAGTTTTTATTTTCTTTCCCAATTACTTTTTTTAACCTCAAGCTACATCCTATATAAATAGAACTATGATACGAGTCTAGTAAAGTGTTAGGATGCCAGTTTGGTAAATAGATAAATGGCTAATATTTAGTGGTGACCACTATAGATTTGTCTAGTGCTTTGTGGATAATTAAAGTGGTCTCTGTCCTGAGGAATATATAATCTCTTTGGCAGAAAACAGCAAGGGATTAAACCAAGAAGGTAGCTAGAGATCCAAGTGTTAAAACAGTAAAGATGATTTATTCTGTAATAATGAGTAACTTCAGATAAACCTATTTTTAAGGCAACTAAGCAGTTTTATTACTGCTTTAGCCCTTCAGTTAGTGAGCAAGCACTAACATATATACAATAACTGCATTTTCAAACAGAGTGGACACAAGACTGATGCTTATACTGTTATTGGTTGGTAACCAATAACAGTATAAGCAAGTGTTGCTGGCATTGAAGGGCTCTTGATGCAGGAGTTGCTGACTGGATGGTGAACTCATTAATAGTATTTCTTTTGGGGTCAGTTTTACAGTATAAAATCTCTATGGTGGCTAGAGATATTTGGCTAATACAGACTCTAAGCCCAGAAGGGATTCTTACAATCATTTAATTTGACTGCACATCTCTGGCCACAGAATCTCTCCCACCAACTCCTGTAATAGGCCCTCGAACCTCTGAGTGAGATATTGAAAACCTCAGAATTTTATTCAGAAAGTTAGTTACAAAGAATCTACCATTTACTGTGGTGCAGGGTCTGGGAGAGAGTTGTGACTTGGGGCAAGGGTGCAGACCTACTACAGGAGGGGGTTGTGACCTAGGGTAGGATATTGGGTTGCAGGAGAGGGTGCAGCATCTGAGGAGGTATGGGTGCATGATCAAAAATGCAGAGGGTTGGAGTTATCTGAGGCGAGATGCAGGAGGGGGGTGCAAGGATTTAGTTTGTGACGTAGGGCAGAGAGGGGGTGGGGTGCCAGATGCAGGCTCTGGCTGGGAGGTGCTTAGCTTTGGTGGCTCCCAGCCAACAGAATAAGAGTTGTGAGATTTTGCTGGGGGTAAAGACACAAGTGGGCTGCAGCACGTGGGGAGCTGCTGCAGCACGTGGGGAGCTGCTGCAGCACGTGGGGAGCTGCTGCAGCACGTGGGGAGCTGCTGCAGCACGCACGTGGGGAGCTGCTGCTGCCCTCCCAGTTAACTGGAACTGGTGGCTTACCAGTTAACTGTTCACGTCTCTAGTATGTGGTAGGCTGAGATCCTACCCCAGGGTCTTGCTAGGCTATGGGGTGGTGGCAAGTCAGATCTGGCCTACAAGCTATATTTTGCCCACTCTTGATGCAGAGCCTATTTAAACTTTAGCATTTCCTTGCAGTTTTGCGATCCCAATAATTATCCCACATTGGGGAGGGTAAGGCAACCGTAACCTCTGCATCTCTGACCCTTCAATTGTTATGCTTATAAGAATTACACCTTGCAAATTCAAAGTATGCAAGCGAAGTTAGCAAAACTACTCCATCCCAGGATGTTATGCTTATAAGAAGCATATGGAATATTTTTCAGGGTGATAAGGCAACACGCCGCATTTATTGACAATATAACAAAGTAGCATATGCATTTACTCACACATACACTCATCCTGCAGATGAATAGTTACCAATCTGTTGCTCGGCCCAATCTATTGACCACATAGGTCAGGTCCGAGGTAGGAGCTGGGTTCATGTCAGTCTGGACTGATGCTCCTCTTAGTCTTAGCAGGACAGAACCTGAAGAACCATACAAGACACCCCATCCTTTATAGGACTTTCCTTCCATGCAAGTCTATGCATTTTGCTTCATCAGGCCTTCGTCAGTCATTCAGCATCACAATCAATCTTCCTAAAATTGGGAAGAAGTTGTTCTCACAGTCATCTGATCTCAGTATGCTGACGACCCCTCAGGGATGTTGTCTTTCTGGTGAAAGTTGTGATTGGTTTCCTATCAAGGGGTGCTTGCCTCTAGCTTCAGGGTTCATCAGTCTGCCCAGGTAGTCTGCGTCTTCTGAGTTCTTTCACTTAGTTGATAATTGTTTAGTGCTTCTGAGTCTTCAGCCCCTCCTCTGACCGTTTGAGCTTGCAGTGGCCTTTACATTTATCTCCTAAAGCATTCTCTCTCTTTCACACAAACAATACATTTACAGAATTGCGGCATGGAACAAAGGGGTACTTCTAAGTCACTTTAACAAAGTTACAAAGTCTTTCAACATTAAACTTCTTTCTATCTACTACAAGGCCTATCTAACACTAACATCCCTATATATTACAATATTCCATCCCGTTACTTTAACATGCTAACATCAAACAGAGCTGGAGCTAAGTTAAAGCTGCCTGGCCCTGTGAGGCCTACATCTTGGATTTAAGTTTAATCCAAACTTTTGCTATAACATACATTTATTACAACTGACTTATTAGTTACAAAATTCTATTCCAGTGCTACACATTTATTGTGGTTCTTCCCTCTTCCCCGCCACCCCAATTCACAGGTAGTCATTTAGCCATTTCATTGTGTAGGGGCAACAGAACCTGATCACTCAGGCTTATATTTCTTCCCAGGTGACAAACTTCTAGCAATGGATTCTGAGTATTGTCCATCTGAGTGCCAGCTTTTGAGGCTGACTATAGCTATAGTCTTGGGATACCTGCAGACCAAAGCTAAGGGCTTGTCTGCATTTACTGTGCTGTACTGCACCTTGCACCACTCTTGCACTTAGTGAGAATGTTACCTATGTCAACAGGAGAGATTCTCCTGTGGGCCTAAGTACTCCACCTCCCTGAGAGGCAGGAACTATGCCAACAGGAAAAGCTTTCAGGGGCATGGAAAGTCCACATCCCTGAGCAACGTTGTTCTACCAACATAAGATTGTGATGTAGAGCAGGGCTAACTACAACTGAGTTAGTTTTGTTACCTTTTAGCCAGCACAAAAATAACTACCAATCCCACTGAGAGGAAGAAGAGTCTTAAAATTAATACAGATATCTCACATTCTTCAGAGTTGTGATGGATGTTATCAAAATGGTTGGACCGATCTGGCAATGCATCTCTAAGGGGAAAGCTTCGTTGCAATTAGCAATTAACGGGCTGCATCTGTTAATTAAGTTATTTTGGGATATTGTCAAACAAGAAATTAAACATTTATTTATAAACACAAGAATGCTATATTACTGTGTCCTGTATACTTTCATCAGGCTACAATGTGCTCCTAGTGTGCCATGAGCTCTGTTCCTTTCAGTGAAATGTAGAAATCTGATCTACTTTATTCAGCTAAAATTAGTGGCTTTCCAAATTGTGCATTAAAATTTCTTCATCGAAAAGAACATGTTTGGTGAACTTGCAGGAGTCTGCTCTCATATATAATAGTTTTTTTTCAAGCCCTGATTCCATGAAGATTTCTAGCTGTTCTTTAATATTTTCTTCAGTGATGTCCATACATTTGGTGGTGATGATGTTCAGAAGACTGAACACAAATGGCAGCATCCTTGTTACTAGCAGCGCATTTTTCCTATATCAGAGTTGATGGGAAACATCATAGATCTGAGTACTCTGCATGTGAGGAAAATACCTTCTGCGGACTATTATTTGTAGGTTTATAAACAGACAAACTTTGACTTTAGTCTGTAATCTGCCTATTAAAGGCCCCACCAATCCTTTGAAAGTGACAGAACCACAGTAAAATTCCTCTTTGAATGATTGCCTTTTTGCTATAACTGATTTAATATAAGGGAAACAAAGGCTAGTTTGTTCACATGTGTTGCACTACAGGTTTTCAAAATAATGAGAACAGGTTAGAAGGTCTATCTGAAATTGAACTTGTATCATATAAAGACAGATCTCACCATCTAGTGCATGTGAGAGTTAGTTCATCTAATTGATCCAGAGCATTCAGTGTTAGAACTTGTAGGTTCTGTACTTAGTTCTGACACGGAGTCTGTGACATTTTGGCTAATTAAAATTTGGGTTTCCTTAAAGTGCTCCCCTTTTTTGGGTTTCAATTTTAGGTGCCAATTTTTAGAGGTGTGGAACATCCGTAGCAGCTGTTGAATTCAGCTGCATTATGCATGCTTGCCCTTGTTTTTCTCTGGTTGGGCCATCCATAATTAGTAGCCACTGCTGAAAATACAAGTTTTACATAAGCCAATGCATGGATGTTATTTGTAAACTGAATATTTACCCACTAACTTCTGAGTTGTGTGGCTTGCCTGATGTTTTCAAAACACTTCAGAGTTATGCCCTATCTTTTCATGAAAGGATCTCCAAGCACTGCTGTAATTAAAGAAAATAATTTACATTTACTCTTTTTAGATATGCTGTGCGTGCAAATATTAGTGAGGTGTATTTTATGTGACACAGAATAAATGTTTCCTTCTTTTAATTACATACCTAGCTTACAGCAGAAGAAGTAAAGGATAACAGAGTGGTCTTATTCGAAGTAGAAGCAAGAAAACTAGATAATAAGGTATTTAACTGCTGTATTTATAATAAAGAATTAAAATCACATTGCTCTTACAGATAAGGAATGGTACTGATCGATTCTGACTTTTTGCTGGAAAAAATAAATCTAAGATACTTTTTACAGTAGAAGAAAAACACATCGAAAAAATGTTAATTACATTGAAGTTTTTAGAATGAATCTTGACCTATTTCTAAAGTGAGACAAGTATATTGTCCACAATTTTCTTGAAACAAGACTTAAATCTGTCCATCAGTTTTGTGTCTGTTAGTGTAAATGCTTTTTCCATTTAATTTTAAATTTTACTTGCTAAAATAATAGTAGAAAATACACTTTCAGACACCCATATAAAGTATATTTTAGTAACCGTTGTTTGTTTATTATAATCTCAGGCTTGGCGTTAGAATCTCTAAACCCTATAATTGGTCTATGAAATTCCAAAATAGATGTTAAAAATACTATGTAGGGAATAAATGCTTTTATTTCACATTTTTCTAATGCTCTACTTAGACAGCTTTGAATTAGGATCCAGCCCTTCATACACCTGTTGCCCTGAAGTGGAACTATCCAGCAGTGTTTACAGAGCACAGACTCTCACTTTATACTAAAAATATATATTTATAGTCTTCTCATAGCTATTTAGTTCTGTGGCTTGCTAATATAAGGAATTGTGTTTTAAAAGCAGTAATGAGAATGAGACCTGAAGTGATTTCTGTTCTTTATCAGAAAGATGTTTAATAGTTTTTAGGAAAGTCTTTTGTTTACTTTCCATTTGTATGACTGTGTATTAATTAGTATTTGATAACATTCATACCATAAGTGCCTTCTTTTGTTTTGTTTTAATTCAGGATTTTTTTGGAAAGTCAGATCCTTACTTGGAATTCCACAAGCAGACGTCAGAAGGGAACTGGGTGATGGTTCACAGAACTGAGGTAGGGGATTTTGTTCACAAGAAACTGGAGTTTGAGTTAATCTGACTTTTTATATGTATGCCCTAGCTCTAAAGATACAACAGTTTCAGAGCAGGGGATTTGATCTTGGGAGTAAGGCACCTGACTGGATCTCAGGAGACCTGTATTTTCCTAGCTCTGTCAGACTTTTTTTGTGTGACCTTGAAAGTCATATGTGGCTAATACTGCTTTTTCCCCCTACTCTTTTGCTTGTCTGTTTTGATGTAAACCCTTTGGGCAGAGATTGTTTAGCTGTATGTAATGTCTAGAATATTGGGACCCCAGTTTTGGTATGAGCCTCTAGATCCACGGTGTCCAACCAATTCTGAAACAGTAACTGCTATAGTGGCTATTGATCTAGCAAACTAGCCACACTCAACTGATCAAATAGCCATGTGTCCACTTGCTAGTGTGTTGGATGCCACGGCTCTAGATGCTATTATAGTACTATTAATATCAGAGAATGCCAACTCAGTTAGGTCTGATGTTTATTACTTAAATATAGTAAGTTATTACTGAATACTTATAGGAGAGCCTGAGGCCCTAATCAGTATTTACATAATAAACAAATTTAAAGGAAGATACAGTCCCTGGCCTGAAGCACTTAGTCAAAGAAATGTAAATCCCTTTTCTATGTTAATTTTATAATTAACATTTCTTCATGTGTTCCGGCAGCATAACAAGTACATTTATCTAACTTTGAGGGCTCTACCATCTCAGAAATAAATGTCTTTGTGTATTTATTAGTATATCTTCTTATCCTTAATTTGAAGATTTGATTTAAAAATCAAGGCATTTTACCTTCCACTTTTGAAAGTGTTTCACTATACCTAAGGGTTAACTTCTAGCACAGAGCCTAAATTGTATTAAATAAAAATGCTACATTACTTTCCTTTGGAGGATTTCTGCTATAGGAAATTTAACCCTAGACTCTGTTGCAGATTATGAACACTTGAATTGTAGAGTTTGGGAACATTCATGGCAGATTCTCAATAAACTTCTTTCACTCCTTCCCCCCAAGCACTAAGATGTATTTTGTTTGATAGACATGAAAAGGTTATAAAAAGGTTTAACTTTTTTTTTTTAAACTCTTAAGCTTGACTCTCTGGAGGAAATACTTCTGGAGATGGGTTTTCAGTATAAACATTTGATTGGTGAAATGTAACTTCTGTAAAATGATTTTACCCCATTGTCTTGTTTCATCTGGTAAGATATGGGGATAAATAGCAAAATGCTACCTATGCCTTGGGTCTACATGTAGAGAGGTACTGGAATATTACCTCCTCTCCAGTTTGAGATTTAAATGGTGTATGGTAAATTAAATTTTCTTTAGGAAAATATTGACCTCCTAGCAGTGAGCAGTAGCATCCAGTTACTTTCAAAGAGTTGGTGTCAGAATGTTTCTCCTTTTATGCTGTCCCAGCCATTGAGGTTATTGTTATATCCTTGGCATATAAGCATGACTTTTTTTTTATTTTTTATTTTTTTTAATGGTTGTATCACAGGTCAACACTTCCCATATTTGCAACAGTTATGGAATAAAAACATGACAAAACTGATAGTCACACTCTGTCTTGCTTTGCTAACAATACTGTTTTATTAAATCTGTTTGGCAGGTTATAAAAAATAACTTGAATCCTGTATGGAAGCCCTTTAAAATTCCTCTCAATTCTCTGTGTTACAGTGATATGGATAAAACAATCAAGGTAATACTTAAATGATTGAATTTCTCCTTAGTGTATCTAAATAAATAGTTTGCAAATATAATGAATTATCATTTAACTGTTTTATGCTTTTAGTTTTAAGTTAAACTCAAAATGAAGATTTTTATTTAAAGTAACAGGAAGCCTAAAGTTGACGATGAAGATAATGGCCTGACAGTTTGTGTTACAGTAGCTGCCAAAAATAATTGTTAAATTTACTCCCAGATTTAGGGAACCTGGTTAAACTAGAGTAAATGTGATTTTTTTTCCCTCTTCATTTTTTCCTTTGAATTAGTGTTAACATAACAGCAGTTCTCAAATTTGTTAAAAGCATGGGGCATCTAATTGCACATTTACAGTAGTATGGCATCCCATTACTTTTTCTTTCTCTCCTTCATATGACTCTCTTGCCTGGTGCCTTTTATAAGTGCTTTATGCCTGCTTACTTCCCTTTCTTTCCAGCCACATGTTCCTCTCCTCACTCTGCTCAACTGGACTTTGCTTCATAAACCGGTTGCTTCATTCTTTTCTACATTGCTCAGATATTACTTAAACAATAGTTCCAGTTCCTTTATCTGAAGAGTTGAGTGAATGGTCATGGGAATCCCCATGAATAAACACAGTAGCAAAGCATTAGCATTGGAATTGCTGGATCTGCCCAAACAAAACCTTCTGATATGAAGCTGTTTTGAACATTAACTGATTTGCATATGTATTTGAAACATCATAATTTGGAATAGAAACAGATCTCAGCCTGACTTTCCAAGCCTACTGTCATGTCATCTAGCCAGGAGGACATATTAGAAACGTAAGGTTACACCTACACTGTAGCCTTCTTCCGGAAAAGCTTATGCAAATGAAGCGCAGAGTCGAATGGCTCTTGCCTAAGAGGGTTTTTGCATGAAAAGGAGCCATCTACACAGCTCCTTTTTGCGCAAAAGCCTCTTGCGCAAAAATGGCTGCTAATTAATTATGCAAATGAAGCATGGCAATATTCCACTCTGTGCTTCATTTGCATAAGCTTTTCCAGAAGAAGGCTACAGTGTAGACTTAGCCTAATTCTGAGTACTAACTAGTAAGTTGTTAATCTCCCTTCCTCACTGTGCTAGCTCCCAAAACAGGGCCTCGTTGACAACAGACAGCAAATGGATGTCTGGTGCAGTTGACCTCCTTCCTGCCTTTAGTTGTTAGTCTATAAAAGCACATAAACATCTGTTAACTTCAGCTCTGGTTTCAGTTGTTGGAGCTGTGAATTCAAATAAACCTGCTTTATCTTAAGCACCACTTTTGGATTTGAAGACAAGATGAATGTGGTATTGTCTTTCTGCCTGCCTGGTCCTAACTGAATCTGTGACAGTGGAAGTAGCCTGGGAGGATAAGGTGGACTCCATTCACAGGGCAAGGAGTCAATCTGGTGAATCCTTACTGAACATTGATTTGCAGCCATCGACACTCTGAACTCCAAGACACCCCTTATTCCTCATTGTCCAAAAGTTCTTAACTTGTTTAGGGGTGTGTGGTGGTTTGGTTTTTTTGACACCTTGCATCAGAGGACAGATAGAAACTTGAGCACCAATGGCTGAGCCAGAGGGTGAAACAACACATTTCCTCAAGTCTATGCTCAGGCTTAAAGTTGATCAGAAATTTTCTGTTACATGCTTTTTTTCTGCTGGAAATTGCATTTATGTAGGAAAGCGAAATGCTTTGAAAGTTTTTATTTCAACATGAATTCCCGCATGAAGAATATTTTGAGACTCAATTTTCCAAAAACAGAAGTATTTTTTAAGTTTGCTTTGAATTTAATTGTATGGGTTTTTCATATTTGTTGTGTTTGCATATTTCATGACAGGTCAGTAGTAGAGCATATTATGCAGTACTACCATTGACATATGAAATAATGTAAAAATAATACACACATGAAAAAATTCAGAAACTGAAAAATTTAAAATTTTTATGGGAAATGTTAAATTGTTGCAGTTTGGAGCAAAAAAAAAAAAAGTGTCAAAATGTCCTGCAAAAGAAAATTCCAAATTACAGAAGCTGCAATGTTGGTTGAATTAAAAGGGAAGAGAAACTTCTTATCGACATACCTTAAAAATGGAGGAAGAGGTCATCCAGTCCTTTTTCTCCCTGCCCCCATGCTGAGGCAGGATTAATTATACATAGACCATGTCTGTTGGGTGTTTTGTCTAACCAGATCTTAAAAACTTCCAATGATGGGGAATCCATAACTTCCCTACTTAATCTGTTCCATAATTTAACTACCTGTATAATCAGAAAGTTGTCCCTAATATCTAATCTAACTCTCCCTTGCTGCATGGTGAACTTGGAGAACAATTGATTTGTCATTCTCTTTGCAATAGCCTTTTGCACATTTGAAGACTTTCATGTCCTCCTCTTTATTATCTCCTTTTTTAGACTAAACATGCTCAGATCTTTCAACTTTTTCTCATAGGTTATGTTTTCTAAACATGTTACCTTTTTTGTTACTGTCCTCTGGAGTTCTCTCCAATTTGTCCCTATCTTGAAGTGCAGTTCTAAAAACTGGGCACAATACTGGCCTCATTAGTACAGAATAGAATGGAACCAATTACCTCCCAGATCTTACATATGACACAGCATGACATTGTTGACTTGTATTGAATTTCTAATCTTCCACAATGTCCCTAGATCCTTTGCGGTGGCAGAACCATTATGAAGGTTTTCAGCATTTTGTATTTGTGCACTTTATTTTTTCATGCCTAAGCATAATGCATTAAACTCGTCTTTACTGAATTTCTTCTTATAGATTTCAGCTTCACCCGAAGCTGCAAATCCAGGGTGGTAAACCAATTAATCAATCCTCATCATTTACAGCACTGGTCAGAGCATGTTAAATCTTTGAACGGATAATATCATTGGGAAGTAAAGTAGTCTTATTTTGAAGTAATTCATTTTTAATTCACACCTACATTTAAATCAGTTTAAATTTTCTGAGTGTCCCTGTGTAGCTGTACCCTAAGTTTATATTCAGAGTGTAAGTTGAAGTACAGCATAGCATTCACAAAATCAAGAGGGAGTTCATAAATTAACAGACACATTCTCCAATATGTTACAGCAGTGTGTACATGTAAATAAAATCCTATCAATACAAAATATACAATAACCCCTGCTTCTATCCTGGTGAGAAGTTGCAAGAGAGAATAAACTACATGCAACAGACACTAGTTACATTGCTTAATGCACAACTAGCACATACTTAGCTATTATGGGCATAAACCTACATGAAATAAAATCATGATAAAGCACAGTTATTATTAGCTTTACAAGTAAGCCCAGAATCTGATAACTTGTGGGGTGGGGAGAGGAAAGAGCTAATGACAGATTTATTTTCCGCGTATTGTGATTGAATTTTTCATTTCCTTCTTATGACCACACTAAAATTGTAGTTCTTTGACTGGATAAATCCTTTAAGATAGAGTTATTTTCAGCACAGCATGATCCAAACTGTAATCTTATCACCTAGTAGAAAACACTATAAAATAAAACCTTCTAAGTTTTTTTTATCTGTTACATGTATGTAAATCCAGAGCAACTGAGTTTCATAGAGGTGTTCCAGATTTATACACACAAAGCAAGATAGATTATAATTTCTGCTGCATTTTATTTTGAAATTTTAATTTGTGGATTTAAAACTACTTTTAGATGAGACAGTAAAATTGTGGGAATGTTGTTTGGAAGAATTAAACAATGCTGTAATACTTTTATACACACAGTGGAATGCATAACAGGCTCTCTTACTTTAGTAAGTAAAATTGACTTTTTCAGCATAGTATGAATGCCTTTTCACACACTAAGTTGCTCAGTTTGTGTATTCAGCAGTAATGCACAAACCAACTCTCTCATTATTTTTAAATTGTGTGTGTGTGTTGCAGTCAGTAAGTGATGTCTTTCTGTACCCTAAATGTGAGCTTCTCTGATTTGGAGCTAGCATTCATGAATCCTTCAGCTCTGAGGAGGGAAGAGGGAAACATAGATAATTTTATGATGGTACAGAGAGCCACCAAGGTTTGTTGCATGAGTAGTCAAACTTCTGATTTAAAAAGAAACATTGGGTTTAATGTATTTAATATATCAAACTCCCAGAAATGTTTTTGGTCTTTTAAACAAAAAAACAATTCTGATAATTCTCAAATAAGCTGCTATTACTGTTGAATGAAAAAAAATCTTTGGTATTAAGCATTCCACCAATATTTGAACATCTGATTGGCTCAATATAGGGAAGCCTAAAGAATTTGTGTCGTGTCTGTGTGAAATCTTTCTCATCTGTGATAGCATTATTTTGCCTGTATGAAGTATGAATTTGTTTACAATGCATGTGCATGTATTTTATTACAGTAGTAGCCAAAATGTCTTGAGGAGCTTTGCCAACACAAAAAGGCACCGTAGAACTAGCAATCTAAAGGGCAGTAATGTAGAAATATGAAATGTGTTACGTGGGCAGTTTTCTGTCTGAAACCCAATATTTCATTAAGATAGGATTTGTTTGTTCTGTCAGAAATGAAATGTTAAAAGAAAACATTTTTATTAATGTGCTTGTGTACATTATACGACTGTTTGTCTTAATGGGAGAGGGAAATACGGCTTAGAGACCCGCAATATTGATTAAATTGTATCTTGCTTAAAGAATATTTTTGTCTAGCATCTGTATTTTTATCCTGAATAATGGAAAAATGCTTCAATGGAAATTTTGGTACTAAGAAGCTGTTTTCATCTTACCTGTCATCAGAACAAAAATTAAAATAACAATGAAAAACAAATTGGGGCTAAATAAAGTGACAGTATGCCTCTCTTCTCTGCTAATCAAAAGGAATAACCTGAGCAAGGAAAGGCATTAAGATTAAAGTTTAATTGGCTTAATTAGTAAAGTCTTACCATTTGAGGTATAAATATGGATAAAGAGGGATTTTGGCCAACCTCCTATCTCTGAGGAAGTTATGAATTTACAGATAATTAGGATTGCTGGTCTTGAGGGAACTCCCAAGTCTAGCTTCTTCTGTTTTCAGCAATGAAAGATACTGAATTCTCAATCTGAGCCCCTGTATGAATCAGTAATGCAATCCACTTGCTTTTGCTCTCTTGCTAACCACGCAAAGTTTAACTTGCAGAAGTACTGATTCATGAACACCTTCCACTGAAATCAATAGGAGCTGAGTGCCAATACCTCTGAAAAATAGTCTTCCAATATGTAATGTCAGAAGGATACAAACTAGGCACCTTGGAATGACTTTTTTTCTAAAAACTTATCAGAATAAAATAGTATCATTAGCCTAATGAATCACATTGGACCTGATCTTGTGAAATGCTAAACCTGCTTGATGCTCATTGACTTCAGTGGAAGATGAGGATGCTCAGTAGCATGGAGGGTTGGTTCAGTAGTAAAGACTCACTTATCTTTCTGCAGCGGGTAAAGCCTAGCCTTCAGTCACTTGAATGTATGGCCCCCTTGAGTCAAATCTATGGCACAGAGCAAACTTCTCCCAAGCTTGAAATCTTAAGAGAAAAAGAGCAGATTTGTTTTATACAATGTTAAAGAAATGTTACAATATTACTTTGTTAGATTGATGGCTGTTTCTAATCCTGGATAATGCTTCATTTTAGGTAGAGTGCTATGACTATGACAGTGATGGGTCTCATGATCTCATAGGGAGTTTTCTAACCACGATGTCAAAACTTAAGGAATCTTCTCGATCCTCTCCGGTAAGTAAAAAAACCTCTAGGCTTCTTGAACATTTTTTGTGAAATTGCCTTATTTGTTATGAGCAAAGACTACAAAGTATACTTGTCAGTATTTAACTGTCTTATTGCATTGCTTATACATCGCACCAGGTCAGGTCAAGAGTTGGCATTTCCATTTCAAATCCATTTTTGCAGACTTTAATATCTTGGTTGTTTTTTGTAATGGCAGAAGTCTGAAAATCCACGTTGTCAAGTCAAATTAATTTAACCAATCTGTGATCATCAAAATGCAGAATACAAGATCAATTTCACTGCTGTTAAAAGGCCAGAGCCTGAAGTTCTCAGTTTTTACTTTATCCTTAATTTCAGGTTTGCTTCTCACTCGATAAAGTAATTGAATAAACCTGAACAAAGACTTTAAGATGTAGCTACTTGTTCACAGAAGTTAACTGTGTGTTCCATTTGTTTGGGTCTTTATTTCCTTTCTTTAAAAAAACCCTCAGAAACCACACTATCCCTTATTTTTTTATATAAAATATTGTGTTGTAAATCTTGTAACATGACAAATTGCGTTCTCATACATTTCATTAGACATCATTCAACAACCTTAGCTTAGAAACTCTTTATTTTTATTGACTTGTGTCCCAGCAGTGTTTTACCGTATTTTTCTTTACTTGAACACAACTTGAAAAATAGTTCAAACATTATTAATGAACAAGTATGCTGCATGCAGGTTTGGAACCTAAAAGCATCCTAAGTATGGTATGTATACTGAATTCTTCAAAGCTACTACTTGTTAATATTTAACTTTTAATGTGTTGATATTTTATAATCCCTGCTCAGGCCATGTTGCTCTATCAGTGGTTGTTTCCAAAGACTTCCTGAAACTGAGCAGAGGACAATATAACACTTACTTTTACAGCACTGGTAAATAATTTCAGCAAGTTACTATGCTCATATGTAATCTGATTCTTAGAAATTTCTAGTGATTTTTAATCTTTATAGGTTCTCAGAAGCAGGCTGGCATTCATACAGCTTTTCCCACAAGAAAAGTAGTGAGCATCTTGCTATAGTAATTAAAAGCACACAAACACTGAAAAGCAAGGATAAAACAGTTTAGTCCAGTCCTTTGCCATATCTACTAAAATGGCTTTTGTTTCACAAGTTAATTACTTTAATAAAATGTGGCACCATTTTAGTGAACGAGTTGTTGTTTAAAGGCCAACGCGGGGGGGGGAGGGGGAAACCCAAAGCATATTTCTTTGTGTAGTGTTTTTTTAATAAAAAAGTGTACACACACATTGTGTAAAACCTCAGTCCTGTGAAATAGTGAGTTCTTTGTGTCACCAAAGAGACTGAGTGAGTTGATGTGGATCAAAATGCTCATCTTCTGCTTTTTAAAAATATGTTCAGTGTTAACATAATCTTCATGTTCTCCTTTTGAAAATGCCTCAAGAAAGCTTTTCCTTAAGAATATTTTCATGACCACACATTGGGCGGTATCCAGTCAAAGACAGCAATCTGTGTGCCAGGAGACTGGCTGGGAATTAAATCTACAAGATAAAGCAGAGAACCCCTAAGCTCCATACATTTCTTGCTTAAAACGAATTGGAACCCAGTCTGGCAAAACTTTTCTTATTACCTCCCCTAAGATCTAGTTGGCCAATAAGGTGAAATTTATTAAGAACCCAAATCTGATCTTAGTTGTGCACATCTTAACCCTGGAATAACTTAGTGAAGTCACTGGAGTTACTTGATTTTTAACACCAGTGTAACTGAAAATGATCTAGTGTTAAATAAGATGCAGACTGTGCTCCACAAAATAAGAAAAGGGTGAGAGAATGCTCAGGCTAGCCTATGTGATTGGGATGGGTTGGGGGAGGAAGGGAGGGATGGGCATATTAATGAAAATATAAGATTTAACAAAAAATCCTCATGGTGGTTGGAGTTAATACACGTTCATAGAACACTTCTGTTTAATTTTAAGACCAAGTTAAATATGGAAAATTTAATCAGGAAGTTATCTGGCTGTGGAGATTAGCCTCTGTGATAAAGTTCCACAGCTTGTTTCAGTTCTAATTAAGTCTTATTATGTTCTATCCATGCTATAAACCAGCAATAATCAGGAAAGAATCCCAATAGAATAAAATATTGCAATATTACATGTCTTGTTACAGAACAGAAACTGTTCGCAAGTTCTTTGCTGTCCTCAACATATCTCCATTGATTGTAGTGGCGGGGTGGGGGAGATATTTTTCAGGCAAGCCCTTGGTACATGCCTGTTTCTTTATGGTACTGAGCGACCCTCGTTCTCACTGTAATCTATTGAAGTTAAGGGAACTTAGCACTTTGCACAATTTGGAACTTAAGTGTTTTCTGACTTACTGGAGAACTTACAAGGTGGCTTGTTTGTGCTTGTTTTATTTGCTCAATAAATTCTTGGATTTAACCTCCACTGAATTAATGAAAATATTGTCCTATGGCTTAGTAGTTCGGGGCTCTACTGCTTCCTATCAGTTTGAACACTTAGAACATATGGCAGACACACTTATGACCAGTTCTTTTGAATACTTTGGTGTTTGCTAGAGACGAGTAAAAGAGGAGTACTAGCTGGCTGAAACCTAATTTGTATAAAATGGAAGTGATGTTGGGAAGACAGACGCGTCAGTGAATCCCTTTTAAAGGAGCGCTTGTGTTATTGGCAAGGCAGAGTCAACCTGTGGAACTCCCTGTCAGAGGATGTTGTGAAGACCAGATCTTTAACAGGGTTCAAAAAAGAATTAGACACATTCATGGAAGATAGGTCCCTCAATGGCTATTAGCCAGGATGGGCAGGAATGGTGTCCCTAGTCTCTCTTTGCTAGGGCAAGGAATGGGCGACAGGGGGAAAGATCACTTGACATTTACGTGTTCTGTTAATTCCCTCTGGGACACCTGGCATGGGCCACTGTTGGAAGACAGGCCATAGGGCTAGATGGACCTTTGGTCTGACCCAATAAGGGTACGTCTACACTACAATGTTAATTCGAACTAACTTAGTTCGAATTAACTAATTCAAACTAAGCTAATTTGAACTAACGGATCCAGATTAAAAAACTAGTTCGAATTAGCGTTTTGCTAATTCGAATTAGCATGTCCACATTAAGTGGTCCATGAACCAGGCTTAAGGATGGCCGGAAGTAGTGCCGGCAGGGCATCAGAGGAGGACTTAGAGCGTGGAGATGCTGTCTCAGGCTAGCTGAGGCTGTGCTTAAAGGGCCCCGCCCCCCACCCTGGACAGACAGTTCTCAGGGGTGCCCCGCTTGCAAAGCAGTCCTGACTTGGA